GGAAACACGGTGGGGAATCCAACTCTTAACCTCTGGCCCCCCTGCAGCCAAAGAACTAAACCAGTGAGCGATCCAGCCAGCTTGATATCGCCTTCTCCAAAATGATGGCCTCCAGATGGACTGAAACACAGACAACTAGCCCCAGGCATCACAGCGGCTTAGGAATCCTTTCGTGCCATTAGCATTAGAACTCTTAACCCATGTAAGCACAGCTGCACCTTGAGCATTTACAGTTGTGAATAGTCCTTTTTGGTGGTGGATGGAAAGAGTTTCAATTAAAGAGTCCAGGCTTCTTAAGTTTTACTGGCTTTTTTTTTTACGTTTGGGTGCTGTTGGATTTATTGGTAATTGTTTACGGACCATCTCTGTGTTCTTTTTCTCCCTAGCATTCCTCCTCGGTAGGTTCTACCCTTAAAAAAGTGGCCTGCAAATAATTTTAAAGAAGAAACCAAAGACTATATGGCAGCCACCGTTCTGGTTCAAAGGACACACAGCACTCCAGTGACTCCACCTCTAAAACAAGGCACATCTCAGCATATTTTAAGCTGTAAAACACAGAGACAAGCAACTCGACCAAAAGAGATGTGGGCGTAGGTGAAAAACAATTCTTATTCAGAACACCCACAAGGTCTCCCAGGTGAGATCAGAATGTTGGTCTCTTAGGCTGTTTTTGCACATCCATGTTCCCCGACAACTGGACTGTTTCTGCCAATGACTAACATAGTAATTCAGGATATTAGATGCTTACCATGTGTTGGCTGTGCTAGCTATGGCTAGTCAAAAATGCACTGAACAGAGTTCCACACAAGAAGCAGCAGCTAGTCTCTCCAAAAGAGAGCTAGTACAAACCCTCCTCACTGCACTATTCCATGTTTTTATTCTGGGATGAATGTACCATAACTTGGCAAGGGATAGATTAAGTAGCTTGGTAAAGGTTCCCCTTGACATTTAGTCCAGTCATGTCCGACTCTAGGGTGGCAGTGCTCATCCCCATTTCCGAGAGAGCCTGCATTTATCCAAACACAATCTTCCGTGGTCATGTGGCCAGCGCAACTAGACATGAATGCTATTACCTTCCCACCAAGGTGGTACCTATTTATCTACTTGCATTTTTACACATTTTAGAACGCTAGGTTGGCAGGAGCTGGGACAAGCGATGGGGGTTCATTCTGTCGTGTGGATTCGATCTTACGACTGCTGGTCTTCTGACCTTGCAGCACAAAGGCTTCTGCGGTTTAACCCGCAGCGCAACCACATCCCCCTAAGTAGCTTGACAAGAGCCAAAGTAATATCCTGCTCCCTTGTAGATCACCACAGGTTTTTCTTCTGGAATAGTTCTAAGCATGGTTAAACTTACTCTTTTTTTTTGTATCCAAAACAATGGGCGCTCGCCCCACCCCCAGCTATAACATTTTTGGAATTTTTCCCCCTATTCCAGATGTTTCAGCAACGAAGTCATAGCAAACATCCTCTATTTGGTATTGTTCCAGTTAACTACAAAATGTTGCCATCAGAAATGGGCACGAACTAGTGGTTGTTTATTGGCAGAAGCAGCACCCAGAGGAGGCAGGACAGAGCAGTGAAGGTATCGACCCCCAGCTATGACATTTTTGGAATTTTCCCCCCTATTCCAGATGTTTCAGCAACAAAGTCATAGCAAACATCCTCTATTTGGTATTGTTCCACTTAACTACAAAATGTTGCCATCAGAAATGGGCACAAACCAGTGGTTGTGCCAGTTTGTTTATTGGCCAAACAGGTGTTCAGCACTTCAAAGCCCTACATCCTCTGGCAGGTGCCCAGAACTAGTGGTTGTTTATTGGCAGAAGCAGCACCCAGAGGAGGCAGGACAGAGCAGTGAAGCCAGGCTGCTGCCTTTGAGTGGGCGCCCACTGGAAGAGGTTGTGTTTTGAAGTGCCGAACACTGGTTCAGCCGATAAACAAACCAGCACAAACCACCGGTTTGTTGTTCCACTTAACTACAAAATGTTGCCATCAGAAATGGGCACAAACCAGTGGTTGTGCCAGTTTGTTTATTGGCCAAACAGGTGTTCAGCACTTCAAAGCCCTACATCCTCTGGCAGGTGCCCACTCAGAAGTAGCACCCAGAAGAAGCAGGGCAGAGCAGTGAAGCCAGGCTGCTGCCTTTGAGTGGGCGCCCACTGGAAGAGGTTGTGTTTTGAAGTGCCGAACACTGGTTCAGCCGATAAACAAACCAGCACAAACCACCGGTTTGTGCCCACATTTAGTTGCTATTTAAGGAATTACACAAAGGCAATAAAACCTGCCAGGAACCTCATTAAGTTCAACTAAAATTACTCCAATGCAATCATTCCTTGCAGGTTGCATGACTATCACCTTTGCCTAACATTTCCCCCAACTTTTTGGTGGGTTGAGCTGAGGTGACAGAGATGCTCCTATGCACACTACCTCCATGTATTCTTGCATTACAAGGATGTAGGACACTGGATATGATTAAGGAAAAAAAACAAGACCAGGGTGGGTGGAGATCTCCATGTGTTTTTGCATCACAAGGATGTAAGACACCGGATATGATTAAGAAAAAAAAAAAACAAGACCAGGGTGGGTGGAGATTGCAGAAAACAATGTTGCCCTGTACATCTCAAACATATTTTTAAGCAGGGGCATGCAGAGAGTCACTGCGTACACAATTCGGGGAGACAGCGCAGTTAATGTACTGCAAACTAATAATCAGATTCCTGCATATTATGCTCACGTCGTGCACAAATTATGCTATACTACATTGTAGTTAAAAGGAGTTAAAGTGGACAGATATTCCTTCCACTCACATTTAATTAAAGTCAAGGCTACAAAATGCCAGACTCCCCACTTTCTGTATCAGTGTTTCCCAACCTGGGGTGGTGGTGTCACAAAATGTTTTCTGGGGAATTCGGGGCTGTGTGTCACCTTATATGTATAATAGCCCTTGTAAAATAATTCCTTCCTTGACTGTTCAGAGACAGTTATTAAAGTGAGTGTGAATTTGTATGTATGAGTAACAGGTCTTTGGGGGGAGAAAAAAATCCTCTACTTTCTGAGAAGGGATGACTTTGGGGGAGGAAAAAATCTTCTACTTTCTGAGAAGGGATGAATTTTCCCCATCAAAAGTGCCTTCCTGCCCCCCCCCCCATGTGGTGGTGGTGGTGTTACAGGTTACTTGGCTATTATAAAAGGAAGTATCAACTCAAAAAAGGTCAGGAAGCACTGTTCTATATAAATGGTCTGTTTACTGCACAAAACCATTATTCCCTCATTTTATGTCTGTGCTTGCATAAAGGCGATTCTTACCAGGTGATCGATTATTTACAAGGGATAGCCTGTTGGTATCCATTTTAAAGGGAACAGGGAAGATAGAACACATTCAGACAATTCAGACATTGCTCCAATTCACATTGTGATTCAAGTTTCAAATCATACAACCAGTAAAGCATGGTTAAAAGAGGACTGTCTTCTTTTGATCTGCTTCTCATCTGTTCACCCATTCAGCTCCATCCCCAGCAGCAGACGTTAGAGACAGAACAACTATTGCATCCACAGTCTGCAAATTCAGGTGTAACAGCAAATCCAAGATTGCACTAACTATGATTTGAATATGACTTTTGAATTATGGTGACATATTCTGGTTTAGCATTCCCAAAGAAACCAGGGTTTGTAAGTCATCATAGCTTCAAATGTAGAATACTTCTGTTACCGGTCTTAGAAAGCAGATTCTAATGCTACATTTTACCTGAGAACTGAGAAAGGACATTTGATAAAATTACTATGTTTCTGCTGAAAACTAACCCCCACCACCATTGAACATGACAATATAGACAACTGCAGCTTAATGCTCAAAAATAATTGACTACAATGCTCACTAAACCATAAAAATATATGAGTACCTACCAAAACATCAAGAGAAACAGGATTTATTCCTCTGATCTCCATGGCATTCAGTGTTTCCTGACAAAGAGAAAATATTTCCTTTTACTAACTAAAAACACCTCTGTGCTTACATAATTTAAAACAAAACAAAGCCACAAGATTATCACCATTAAAGACGTCATCTCAAACAATTTAAGTAAAAGCTTTAGGGGGAAAAACATTTGTAATGTTTTAAGTTCTTAGTTACACTATTTGTCCATAAATTCTAATATTACAAGCTACTAGTTATGAAGTTTTACATTTGTTTAATAGGGAATAATTGGCTCCAATTATACTGACCGAGCAAAGCTTTTTAGATGACTAATACAAATTAAACTTTTTAATATGAAATTTTAGGTGGTGGTCTTAAAGCCTCTCTTTCTCTCTCTAATCTAAAATAAAACTTGCTAATTGGTACTGCTTCCCTGCTTTTATTGGTTATATTAAGATAAATTAAGTGAGATTAAAATCTTATTTGATTTATTTACCTTTGCAAATGAAGACCGTTTTAAGGGTTACACATCCTCTGCCTCTGACGAAAGCGACCTCAATTAGTCAAGTCAGAAAGTCTTTAAAAGCTTTGTGTTTATTGCTTCCAGCACGGAGCGAGGTTGTCATTAAGGTACCAAAATTCTCAAGAAACAAAATGAAACAAAAAAATTCCAAAGTTGCACTAGTGAAGAAATGCTCAACAAGATCAAAACTAAGTCACATCTGGGTTTTTTTCCTCCTTTTTAATTTTTTGATAGTTTCAGAAAAAGCATTAATTATTTTAAACCAATATTTTTTAAAATATGGAATTCCAGCAGATCAATACCATTTGGATATTTCCTTTAACAAGCCTTTAGGTCTATATTGTGTGTAGAGGTGGAAAGTAGATCTACAAATATATATGATAAAATGCACCTTTGGGTTTATACCATTTTATTAAGAGAACAGAAAAAAGTAAGTTGTACAATGTTTTAGTAGGGAGACATTTTATGTTGATCATAATTAAAAATCACTCCCTCCCTGTTTACCACTATTTATCAAGATTTTTTTAAAAAAATAAATAATGCATACTCTCACACAAACACTGATTTTTCTTTCAAAAGTTTATTTAGTATCAAGCAAGAGTAAACTTTGCTTAACACTACAGAACATTTCAAGACTCAAATTACAAAATACCACATTTGCATTTCTGATCTGCTTCCCTTTTTACGCAGGTTTGCAAGAGAAAGACTAGCAAAATGGTTGAAAGATAAGACTGTAACTAAATTGTTGAAAACCTTTAAAATAAAAGGTTACGCTTAGGTTAAAAATAATGGATTAACATATTTAGTAAACCTAGCTGTTTTTAACACTAGTTAATCAAAGGTTATTTTTTTTCTCCTTTTTTTGTTTTGTTCACCTATTTTTTTTTTCCAAATACAATCTGGAAATAACAAAGCTTCTCACGTCACATGTCTTCCTGTCCAGGTTTTCATTCAGCAGAAAATAGATTAAGCTCAGTCCGTCCATTCAGATTAAGCACTTTGATTTTAATAAAAAGGGATTGTTCATAGAAAAAAATTACTTTGAACAGTATACAGGACTGGTGAAGATTGGGTATTTCACAACATCAGACAGTTTAATCAGTATCTGGCATATGGCTGCTCTCTGTAGGCTCCCTTTGCTGTCCTTGATGGAGGCGCCTTATGTCTTGAGTTGGTCCATTCTTCCTGTCCTGAAATAAAGAAGGGAACATATGGTGAAGGTTCTTCCTTTAAACCTGATTTTGTTTATTTTTACCCCACCTTTACTGCCACAGGAAGAGGATGACAAAATATTCAGCATGAATCAGGCGGCCACCTCCCACCCAATGTTTGTGATTCAAGAGCAGAGTTGAGTTCAAGGTAAGTTTTTCAAGGCCACAAAACTAGATCTAGATTGTTCAACCTCAGGGTGCAGACCTACATAATCAAACTATACTCTCATCTTTTCTGAATGGAAGACCACTAAACTTTATGAAATTCCAACGTTTATTAAGTTTGAAATAGTAAAGCCCCGATACAGGCTGATCTCCTGGAATAATGGTTCCCAGCCTTGGGTCCCCAGATGTTCTTGGACTACAACTCCCAGAAATCCTGTCAGCAGAGATAGGGGGGAAGACTTCTGGGAGTTTTAATTCAAGAACAGCAAGATGGAAACCACTGTCCTAGAGCAAGGATCTAGCAAAAGGCTTCAGAGCAACATTAATCTCTGGGTTCCATCAGCTCCTTTCTCATCACACTTAAAAAACCAACAGATCAGCTATTCTTGAAGAACTCACTTTCAATTTTAACTCCTCTCTTTCAAGAGTTTCACAATAAAAAAAAACAGTCTACAAATATTCTTTCTCCATGTACACATGAAAGAATGATTTATCTCACTGAATACTGCATCATCATAATATTCAGGAAGCTGCTGGGGAGGGCAGGGATCTGTATTATCAAAACAATTATGATGTGACCTCAGAATCAAATATCTTTAATTCCATGCCAGAAATTCTATTAAAGAATTCATGGAAATATGTGAAATGTGTTGCTAACCTCCCCACTCTGCTTTTTAATGGGAATTTTGATCAAGGCAGCTTACAAATTAAAAATAATAATTACACAGTAGAATGGTGTTAAAAATGGTAGGAACACTTAATATCCTTATGAAATGAAATATCTCAGAAAGGCCTGGTGAAATAAACTCATCTTAGCCGCTGGCTGAAAAAGCAACATGGGATGTGGCCAAGGGCACTTCTATTGGAGGCCATAGGAGATTTAGGGCATCACAGACATAAAAAAGGTATCAACCGTGAAGGCTCGAGTTGGCTCAATTGAGGACATGGGATGCAGAAGTGATCAAGATTTCCTGGCCCAAAGACAGCGAAAGATAAAGGCCAGTATTTTGGACTGACCTAAAAAAAACAAGTTGGCTACCAGTGAAACTGATAGAAGATTGATGTTGTACAGGAATACAACAGCATTTTGGAAGAACCTGGGAGTCGGCAAACTATTCATCCATCATTACATCTCAAGACAACATGCAGTCTTGGAGGGCCTATAAAAGATGAAGCCTTCCCATTTCCACATACTTTCGTAATTTTTCTGCCTTAGGATGAGATCTGGGATCTGAAAAGCTTGTACACTTTTTCGGGGCAACTTTTCTGGGCTGGCCTATTTACAGTGTTTTCCTGAAAATAAGACAGGGTCTTATATTAATTTTTGCTCCGAAAACCACATGAGGGGTTATTTTCAGGGGATCTTTTATTTTACAGAGTCATGTCATCTTCTTCTGGTTGCTGCACACTGGTGGAGGGAGGGGTTTCACTTAACTAGGGCTTATTTTTGGGGCAGGGCTTATATTATGAGCATCATGAAAAATCATACTAGGGCTTATTTTCAGGTTAGGCTTATTTTTGGGGAAACAGGGTAAAGTAATTGATTTCATTGGCTTTGAGTGTGACTTTCAGTGCCCTGACTTTAGACATGCAGGAGTGTGGCCTTACACGCAAGGAAAGGGATTGCATGCCATCAGATACCGAAGCTATCGCAGAGTTTGTGTCATCAAAAACAAAATCCAGTGTGGCTTCTATTAACTTTCTTTTACCTAATGTATCATCTAAACTGGTATGGCACTGTGGTTGAACTGCATTACTGAAGCTCAGACTCTGCTCACAACCTGAATTTGATCCTGATAAGAGTCAGGTAGCCAGCTCAAGGCTGACTCAGACTTCCTTCTGAGGTTGGTAAATTGAGTACCCAGTTCACTGGGTGGGTGGCAATGTGTAGCCTGCACAATTAAACTGTAAACCATCGAGAGAGTGCTTTAAGTGCTATGGGGCAGTATATAAGCAGCACACATTGCTTTAAAATCTTGAAAGCTTGCATACCTTTTGGTTCACTTCATAAAGGTGTCAAATTATGAAAGAATGGTGCTTTATAAATGGTCTAAAAGGTTCCCCTTGACATTTTTAGTCCAGTCGCGTCCGACTCTAGGGGGTGGTGCTCATTCCGTTTTCAAGCCGTAGAGCCAGCGCTTGTCCGAAGACAGTTTCCATTGCTACGTGGCCAGCGTGACTAGGGAACACTGTTTTACCTTCCCACCAAGGTGTTGCCTATTTATCGACTCACATTTGCATGCTTTTGAACTGCTAGGTTCGCGAGGAGCTGGGACAAAGTGATGGGAGCTCACTCCGTTGCGTGGATTTGATCTTACGACTGCTGGTCTTCTGACTCTGCAGCACAGAGGCTTCTGCAGTTTAGCCTGCAGCACCACCACGTCTACCTAAAGACAATATGATGCCCTCCAGATGTTTTTGGATGGCAGTGTCGCAATCTCTGACTAGTAATGTTGCTGGCTGGGACTGATGGCAGCTGCAGATGAAAACATCTGGAGCGCGCCAGGATGCCCGTCCTGGTTGGTTTTATTTGTATCCTTTGTGTGTCCATCCTCATCACACTAACAGAGCAGAGTTACAGCAAGCCAGCCAAGAAAAACAGAACTATGTGGCTCCGGAACATGTCAACTTCTTTGCCTGTGTGTTTGCACTGAGCTTGTTGCAAGCCTTTGCACTCAAACATTTCGCTGCCAATGAGGAAAGCTGCAGCCAGGCCCCCTGCTGCTAGACAGCCCATTTTAATGCCAAAGCCTGAAACGATCAAAGCTACGCAAGTCCATGGAGACCAATTTAGTACCTTGCAAGGGGGCCAAAAAAGAGGCTTAAGGCAACCTTTCTTTCCCTTTTGATACTATCATGTAATCAGCTGCTTCCCCTCAAGGTGACTGACTCATGGACAATTTAAGTCTGTGACACACAGACAGCCTGGTGAGGCAGAACTATTTATTATGACAAACAAAACCAAGTGGAGGGCACAGTTTGCTTTAGGTGGGAGAGACTGGTAAGGGGGAAAAAAGAGAGAGAAAGAAAGAAATCTTGCCACACTTCAAAAGAGTCTCTAAAAATGGGCATTAGTCATGTTCCTGAAAAGTGCTGCAATATCAATTAGTGAGAAACGGTGAGTCACTTGCTCCAACAACAGGAAAACTGTGGAAGAAGTAGTGTGTGCGTATGTGCGTCTGGGTGTCTTAGGCTAATGACCAATTGAAGGCTAAGTCCTTCTGATCTCTAGTCAAAGCTATAACTTCTATTACTAAGGCAAAATTGCCTCTTAACATACTTGCACGGTCTAATCCAGAACAGACTTCTCTAATTACCTGTCAGCACTGCACTTATGGTTTCCCCCCCTAATAATCCTCATGATGATCACATGGCTTGTCCTCGGCAAGTTTTTCTTTACCGCCAATGACCCTAGCTCCCTCTTTATGCGTCCCGATCTATCTAAAACACCTTTCGTAACCCTTGCGTAATGACTGCCTGCTTGAGTTTTTTTTCAAGTGGCACAGAGAGTCAAACCTAAAGCGCTGAAAGAGCCTGTAGGCCAGGTTGGAAATGTTCAAAGGCAGCCTTTCATTCAGCAAAGAATGCAAGTTAAAAATGAGGCTAAGGACTCATACATCATGACAGCAGCCCATGTCAAAACGACACAGGAAGCGAGGCCTGGCATACTAAAACCCAAGAGGCAGGTTTGAATGTGGCATCTCAGAGACGCTGCAGCATTACTTATTACGAGCATGGCCAAAACATTTCAGAATCAAGAGGCATTCAACCTGCTCCCTCTCCTTCTTAATGTGCCCTGTGCAAGGTCACACTGGGCCACTCTGCAGACTGGAATTTTCATGATAGGCCACTGTTCTAGCAACCAAAACTTGAGTATGGTGATGTTGTGACAATCTCCTCCTCTGCTAATGTTGCAGCTGGCCACCTGCTAGATGGTGGGTGAAACTGGAGAATGGCATGGCAAATAACATTTTTTTTTTTTAAAAAAAGCCAAAGCAAGCTCTTTCTGTGTATGCCCTGCTAGCACGCCATCCAGCTGCCCCTAAATCAAGATATACTCCTCTTCTATGCACCTTTTGGCCTCAACCCCATAGTTCTCCTCTCCCACCTGAAGTAAGTCTTGAGTATACAGAACTGCAGTGGTGCCTCACTTAACAATGTTAACTGGTTAAAAAAAAACATTGCTATGGGAAAACATTGCTAAGCGAAACACATTTTCCCATAGAGATGCATTGGAAACCGGTTAATCCGTTCAAATGGGAACGGATTACCGTCCTTAAGCGAAAATGGCCATAGGAAACATCGCTAAGCGAAACAATGTATCCCCCATTGGAATGCATTGAAGCCTATTCAATGCATTTCAATGGTTTTGCGATGTTCGTTTTTGCAATTTTAAGTGTGTCTTAAAAGGTTCAAAGACGGTTTTAAATGCTTGGGATCGTTAGTGCACCTTCTAAAACGTGTGCAAACTTAATTTGGCTTTGTTCTGACTCTTCGTTAATTTTTGGTGAATTTTTTTTCTCCCCCATTGGAAAGCATTCAACCTGATTTTGACAGCTGTCAAACGGGCACTTCAATGCTTTCCAATGGGGGAGAAAAAAATTCACCAAAAATTAACGAAGAGTCAGAAACTGTTTTAAATGCTTGGATTCGTTAGAGCACCTTCTAAAACGTGTGCAAACGTAATTTGGCTTTGTTCTGACTCTTTGTTAATTTTTGGTGAATTCCCCCCCCCATTGAAATGCACTGAAGTGCCCGTTTGACAGCTGTCAAAATTGGGTTCAACATTTAAAACCATTTTTGAACCTTTTTAGACACTTTAAAAATAGCAAAAACGGAACATCGCTAAGCGAAACAGGGGACCTAAAACTGTCATCACTAAGCAAGGCAAGGTCCTGAACATCACTATGCGAATTTTCCCCATAGGAAACATTGTTAAACGGAGCACAAAATCGCTCCAAAACCCTCATCGCTAAGCAAATACATCGTTAAACGAGGCAATCGCTAAGCGAGGCACCACTGTATATTTGTGGATGTTGGTCCCTTCTTGAAGAAATGTTAGGGTGGATATTCCCTATGATGCTTCTTTTTAACATTTTGTGTTACTCTGTCAAAAACTTCATACACTGAAGACATTACTCTTAGTACAGGGCTGGAGGGGAAATCCAAAGGAGGTGAAATATAACAGTAAAATAGATGACTTGCAAAAGAGGGAAGTCAAGGAGAGTTTTTATGAGCTTGAGTGAGCTCTTTGTTGGGGGTATTATGGGAGATTCAACTTGGCTCAGCATTGCACACAGAATGAAGCTCAGAACTACAAAAGCAGGGAAGACCACTGGCTATACTAAAGTTTGATCATTCAATGGAAGAGGCAAAATTTAAGTTCTGTGCTACAATTTTACACATGTGAAGTGTACACATGCAATGAGTGAGCAACTGCCACCAGAAAATCTAATCTTTCACATGCCTACTTGCTGATCTGAGCCTCAAAGCAGGGAGGTCAGCGACACCATCCCTCCAGATTCACCTTGGCTGAAATGCCGTTTCTCCAGCCACACAGATTTCCATGGTGCCCTAATGCAGCTGTATTTCTTGTTTAAAGCCAGGCTAGGCAGCTAGACGAAACCTGCTAGGTTCTGAAATATTTTGAGGCCAGGAGGCAACCATGTTTTACAGAGGTTGAAAACAATGCATCAAGGCTATATTGGCAGTGTGCAAGTTCCAAAAAAGAGAATGGATTCTGTAATATTCTTTTAGCTGGAAAAACACTGTGAGGAGGAGGAAGAGATGGCAAGGACAAGTGGCACCTAAGGAAATCAAATAACATCTGGAAGAATGTTTGCAGCACAGTAGAGTTCCAAGGGGTTAGAATGGAAGAACAGCCTAGCTGATTGAAACCAAAGGCCTATTCAGGCCACTATTTAATTCTCCACAGAGGCCACTGGATGCCATGACACTCACAAGCAAGAGATGAGATTAATTGCTCTTCCTCTTTTTGTGCTCTGCCTCAGGTGTTGGGGGATAATTTACAGCCATCAGGAGCATCTGCTGTCCAGGGCAGTCTTATTCTCATAAAAGTGCCTAATTCCTTCCTAAAAGTCATTTCATAACCTAAGATAGCAAATAGTATTTGGAAGTTGATACTGGACCTCTTTCTTATTAGGCTGAAACGTTTCGCTACCAAATAATATTTGGAAGTTGATACTGGGCCTCTTTCTTATTAAGCTGAAACGTTTCGCTACTCATCCAAGTACTTTCTTCAACCTGAGGAGAGTTGGAAGGAGGCCCCTGATATCTCCTCCATGTTAGTTTCACTCCCCCCTGGTCTGAATAGGCTCCTCAGATGGACAACTGACAGGGGGTGGGTGGGTGAAAATCCCACCTCTGCCGTCCTTCTCCACCCATTGTCACGGGTCATTAACAGTGGTCTGTTGTCCTAATCTTTCTGGGGACGGATGAAAGGGCAGCATGATCAATAGTAGACAGAATGCTGAGTGAGGGATTTTCGATATGAACATGTACGGCCTCCCTGACCCCTCTTCTCAAATTACCTATCTTCTCAGTCCAAAATGAGTACATTTTGGTCATCAAATGAGTGCCCTTTGTCCTTCAAATGAAGGAATGCTGCTGATTGTGGTCCTGAGCCATTGCACCGCCTGCATATTCTCCTATTCAGTGGCTGTTTGGTTTCTCCAATGTAGAGCTTCAAACACTCCTCTTTGCATTGGACCGCATATACTATATCGTTCCTGTTGTGTTTTGGTATTCAGTCTTTTGGATGGAAGAGTCTGTGCCTTAGTGTGTTTGTGGGAGATATATTGTGGGAAATATATTCATGGAGAATATATCAGGGGTCTTCTACCAACTCCCCTCAGACTGAAGAAGCTACTTGGATGATTAGCGAAACATTTCACCCTAGTAAGAAAATAAGTCCAGTTGCCATGACTCAACTTCCAGATAACTGCACCTGGATGACTGAAAATCTTCACAGATATAGCTAACAGTACTACAGTAGTGCCTCGCTTGACGAGGATAATCCGTTCCAGCAACATCGCTGTAGAGCGAAATCCTCATCAAGCGAAATAAAAAAGCCCATTGAAATGCACTGAAAACCGGTTCAATGTGTTCCAATGGGCGAAATACCTCAGCGTCCAGAGAAGATCCTCCACAGAGCAGCCATTTTACGATCCCTGTGCAGTGAAAAATCCATCCTTAAGCATAGTGGGAAGCCATTTTACACTGCGGGTGGCCATTTTGAAACCCGGCGATCAGCTGTTTTGATCGTCGTAATGCAAAGAATCAGTTCCCGAAGCAGGGAACCGATAGTTGGGAAGCGAATTTTGCCCATTAAAACATTGTTTTGCGATCGCAAAAACCTCATCATCAAGCGGATTCACCGTTTAATGAGGTAATGGTTAAGCAAGGCACCACTGTATAGACTGTGTGGTGTTTGTCTGCTCCAGATTTTCCTACATCTAGGTTCACTGAGCGACAATGTATTCTTGTGCTTTGGGAATGGGAGAAATAATTCTGCACTGAATTTCCTCCAACCCATACATAATTTAATTTACAGCTTTAGTAGCAATGACATTAGATGCTTTTACTAAAATATGAGAGATGGTTTTGCCATTAGCAAAGCCTATGAGGACAGACTTTTATAATGGAAGCTGACAATTCCAAACACTTGAAAACCACCTCTTATCTACAGAAAAGGAAGTTGAAGTTACTCACTGTAAGAATCATATGTTTCATCACTCAGTCCATGGGCGTAATCGTAGTAATCGGCCCCACTGTTTGAAAAGAACAGGGGAAAAAATCCAGCTATAAAGAACAATATTGCATCAAACAACATCTTCACAACCATTTTGGGAAATGTGTCCTAAAAGAATGGGAATGTCCTTTCATAGTTGCAATCCCACTATCACCTCCTCCATTCAAAAATGGGGCTGAGCTACATCTGGGTGATGTACAATTAATGCAAACTGTGATATGTTATGCTCTAAAACAGTGGTCCTCAACCTTGGACCTCCAGGCATTCTTGGACTACAACTCCCAGAAGCCTTCACCACCACTTCTGCTGGCCAGGATTTCTGGGAGATGAAGTCCAAGAACATCTGGAGCCCCAAGGTTGGGGACCACTGCTCTAAAACACAGAAATACTGCCTCCAGTCCACTGTGAATCGTATTACAACCCACATATATTTCAAAACTTGGGTTATGTTTTGCTTTCGGCAGCCTGAGGTGGAAGCTTGGATATTTACAGTTTTTTCCCACACAATGGGGCAGGAGTGGCATTACTGAGGCAGAGAACATGGGAAGGTCTTACATGCAGGGTCAAACAGGACATTACAGACAGCACATCATTAGAAAGTGAAATGACATTAGTGTTCTAGAGTGCTTTGCTTTAGGCTTGTGTTTAGTATGCATACATGCATACAATAACCTTTATTGGCATTTGATGTTCTAGAGAGGTGATTCCAGCCAATCTACCTAACTTTGCAAGCATTCTTACAAATGAAGCCCAGTTTACACCTCCAGCGAGCAATCACAAGACAAAGTAAGTAATTTCTCAAGCTATGGAAGCTGGGAAAAGCTCATGATATGACAACGGTACGTCTCGTATTATTTAAAGAATTCTCCCTTTCAAATGGTGGTGCTTCTTGTCATGTGTTGGTTTATTTCTCAGACCTGAGCAACGCCCGTCACAAACAGATCCTGGGCACAGAGTGCAAGATCTCTATAAGACCTCAAAGAGCTGGTCCTACTAGAAAGAAACAAATTTGGGCTAGAGGAACTGGTTCAGTACCAGGCAGCGACATGTGTTCATAAGCTATAAAAATACATATTTCTTTAAAAAAAAACTATTTATTTTAAGATACTTAATTTAAAATGCTATCAGATTTGCAAAATGAATTGATCAAGCATTAAAACTGTCACTGAATAGAATAGGCAAATCAGTAGCATTTTAAATGCCTATTTCAGCCTGGGAGAAAGAGGAGTTTTACTTGGGATTTCAAAGAAAGCAAGGCTAGGTGTTCAAGCGTGTGATGCCATAGCCCGAAAGGCCCCTTTTCTCTAACCATCATCCAGTTCATCCTCTACAACAAAAGGAATAAGAGAAAAGGCCCCCTCCATGTCTGTTTCACCATCTTTATTAAGTATACCTTTCTTGAGCAGAGGGTTAGAAGGACTTAAATAAATGAAGAGGCGATTACATGAAATCAATGTCCAGCTAAATGGCAAGACCTGATCAGAAACATGTTTTGGAAGTGCATTCTTTGTATTCCTACTGCTGATAACAATCTCTTAAACTGGGACATGTAAAAGAAACCTGGAAGATCCTATTCCTGCCTCTTAGCACTTCCTCTAGAACTCAGAACAGGCGCTACAGCTCCTCAGAAGCCAAGATACTGCTAGATATCTCATACGGGGGATTAGCCTGTGTTTCAGGAGGATTCAGAGTTCTATCAGAGGACCCTTTCCAGGGTCCCAGAGAACTGCATAGGTTTTCAGGGAATTGCTCCATTTACGTGAGAACACATAGGACTTTCACAATCACTTTGCATGCAAAAAAGGCATTAAAGAGAGAAAGCCTAGTACAGTAATGGAGAACAACTGGCTTTGAGAGAAGCGTGTTCCACTGTTACTAATCTCAGGGAGGAAACTTCAGATGTCCTGGAGCACAGTTTGCAGAAACCCACCACCACATTCTCCCAGACACCCAGCATCACTAGCTCAAAAATGGCTGCAGAAGATACAAGCATCAGTATGATTTCCGGCCCAGTGCAAGTTTCCCCAAAGAATGCACATACACACCCAAGCAGGTATTTTGAGAGAGAATGTTAATTTGACACTTGCCATCATTCCCTACAGTCTCTAATTATTTACTGTAGGACTCATCAAGTCTGGAGGCCTGGAGCAGCTGAGCCCCCCGTTCCCTTACCTGTCAATCTTGTCAGAATTACTTTGGCTGGGTTTCATTTGACAAACCTAAGTGCCTGTTAAACTAAAAACGACTTGCCTTTCATGGCCGTGTAAACAGCAAAACCAATAATCCCGGAAAGGAGGGCGAAAACACTTATTTACACGGAAGGTGGATAAAACTCCCCTCAAATATTATTAGCTGACAGACCCTTCAGCATCAATAAGCACATCAGAAAAATTATAACACAAGGTGATTGAAGCTGTTTGCCAGAGACGGCTGGTGGTAGTTTTGTCGAGGCTTCTTCTCAGCCCATCCAATAAGTAAATGAATAGTTCTCCTCTAACCCTTCCTTGTCAGGAAGACTGAAATAGACTTGACAGCTACTAATTTTTAATATGCAATTGTTACAGAAGGATATGACAGAAACAGGGAATAGATTTTGGACACCTAACTAAAGGGATTTAGGGATGCAGTCTGGTTGGCATTTCCACTGCCTCCCCCCCCAAAAAAAATTACCTTCCTAGCCTGAAGAATGCAGGACCAACAAATAAGTCAACCAAAGATTTAAGGGTGTTCGAGGGTTCTGTTATAATTACCGCATTTTCAGAAAAAAATTTTTAAAGATGATACCTGTCATGGGGATATAAAATTTGCATCGCGCTAGAAGATAAGCTGTCTAACTGCTCTAAGCAATTGTAGGTGCTTTATAAATATGGAACAGTGCTTTTCAAAGCTTTCTACCAGAAGGGAAGACATTCTGCATATGGACAAGTGCACCCCTACTTTAAATCCTTTCTGCACATCCTTGGCAGCACAGCCAGTGCTGGAAAAGTTTTGCAGGCACAAATGGAACTACTCTTAAGCTGCAAGTCTAGAAAGAGGAGCACAAATACAGAGCAGCAAGCAGCAGCAACAGCCAAGAATCGGGCCCTGAAACGGCTTGTACCCAAGCAGTGGCCAACCGTTCCCACTGGATGGTGTGCCCTTTTCTCTGCCAAAGCAAAGGAGCTTCTCCCAGCGTGGCTGCCCTACTGCGCAGGGAGGGTCCAGCAGCGGGGAGTAGGATTCAAAAATAAAGGCATGTGGGACCTTCAACTTCCAAACTTAAATCCTACACCCTTTTCCACAAAGAGGAGGGAAACAGAAAGGAATAATTAGAACAGTGTTTCCCAACCGGGGGTGTCATAACCACCAAGGAAGCAAAGGAGCTTCTCCCAGCGTGGCTGCCCTACTGCGCAGGGAGGGTCCAGCAGCGGGGAGTAGGATTCAAAAATAAAGGCATGTGGGACCTTCAACTTCCAAACTTAAATCCTACACCCTTTTCCACAAAGAGGAGGGAAACAGAAAGGAATAATTAGAACAGTGTTTCCCAACCGGGGGTGTCATAACCACCAAGGCAAGGGCTTTTTCCACGAAGAGGAGGGAAACAGAAAGGAACAATTAGAACAGTGTTTCCCAACCTGGGCGGGGGTGTCATAACCGCCAAGGGTGTGTGTGAGTGTCACAAAATGTTTTCGGGGGGTAGGGAGTTTTGCCTCATATGTGCTACAAGCCCTTGACCTTTTCAAGCCAAATATTTATTTTATTTATTTATTTATTTGATTTATACCCTGCCCATCTGACCTAAAAGACCACTCTAGGCGGCTTCCAGTGAATATAAACAATAAAATAATACAAAGAATTACATAAACCGTATTATAACATACACAAAGCAAAAATAGAATAAAAATAAATAAAGGGAGACAAATAGAATAAAAATAAACAAAGAGAAAAACCAGGTGTTAGCTGGAGGTAAGGCCTGAATGTATAGCCATGTTTTTAGTTGACTTTTAAAAGTGCCCAAAGTGGGGGCGACACGAATCTCAGGAGGGAGATTATTCCAGAGGCAAGGAGCCACCGCCGAGAAGGCCTGGTTTCGTGTCTTTTCTTTCCGGGCCTCTCTCGGCGTCAGGCTCCTCAGCCTCACCTCCTGGCTCGAACGGGTGATCCGGGCAGATCTTGGTGGGAGCAGGTGTTCGCCAAATATTGAGGTCCTAAACCGTTTTGGGCCTTATAAGCGAGCATTAAAATATTAAATGGGGGGGAGAGAGAGGGGGGTCTCTAACTTTCTGAGAAGGGATGACTTTACCCACTTAAAAGTGCCTTTTTATGCAAATGTGGTGATGACGGTCACAGGTTACTTGGCTGCTATAAAAGAGGGTCACAACTCAAAAACAGGTTGGGGACCACTAAACTAGAAGGACAAAGAGACACTGAAGAAAGAGGCAGGACATGTTGCAGAAGAGGAGAAGTTTGCAGGAAATACAGAGATTGGGCGAATTCCCACCACCACCACAATGGCAGCAGGAAAAGGAATACAAGGGAATGTTTTGCCTCCCTTCTCAGAGACCACATGACTGTCACTCCAGCCCTGTCCCTGGGTTGCAATCATCTTCCTTCTCTTCTGTGCATTCCCCTTTCGAAGCCATACTCCACCATCCCACAGAAAAGTGATCCGCCTCTCTACACAGCACAGTGCCACAGACCTTGGCAGTGAAATGAAACAGCCCAAGCTCCTTGTTATGCCATACTTGTTTTGTGTCCCTGTGAAATGCCTTTGGAAGATGCTGATATACACCCCGTGACAGTGCTCCAGCAGGACGAAGCTTTGCTGAAAACACAAACTATATTGCAAGCCAGACACAGCAGGTACTGAATACTTTCATGCCTCCCAAACTTGTTTGCCAGGAAACCTCACAAAGAAAGACAGTATATCAGTGGCAGTTTACTTTTCCTTCTGGGCAATGATAACCCTCCTGGTCATAAGGCAAGCTTAGGTTCCCGATTGCTCAGAGACGTTGACGAAAAATACCTCCCCCTCTTCAG